AAATGGACATAAAAGGTGTTGAGTCGAAAAAACAAAAAGTTAATAAAAATTGCTAAGCAGGGAGAAAACTGCTGTTTTCTTCAGTTTCATTATTTTGACGAGAGCCTGATTCCATCACGCTGCCTCAAATATGGATGTTCTGGCAAAATACAAACTGAACACAATTTTATTCCTCACAGTAATTCCTTCCAAATATACAATATCTGGAATCAGTCCCACCGACTTTTATAAAAAAAAAAAAAGAAAACAACAGCTACAAAAACAAAAACAAATCTTTTACCATGAGTTAAAAAGTCAAATTGTACAACGACACGGAAGAATCAGGCGCTCATCAATGGTTGTGCTTATGGAGTTATTTGTATCATCTTAAAGTCTGTTCGTGAATGCTTTCTTGTTTTTGACGAAAAAGAAACAAACTATGTATGTCTTTTAAACACAAGTCAAGATATTTGCATATGAAGGACGTGGGTCTTGCCTTGTGTCGGGGTTATAATTGGAATGAAAATGGTCTCCAAAGTTTGACAAATTCCAAAGTTCCGATTGCTCTCAGAAACTACAATTAATTTCTAATATACATTTGTTTGTGCCCTTGATCCACATTTTTCAGTAAAATCTACACCGAATAGTGTTTTTGAATAGACATAGAAGGTGTTGAACCAAAAAAGAAACAAAAAAAAACAACCCCGAAAGCAAAACAAACCATCAATAAAAATTAACTAAAGAGCAGGAAAATGTCGGTTTCTTTGAATTTATTAATTTGACGAGCGCCCGATTTTACAACAAGGCCACACGAATGAATTTTGTTGGATTGAAATCATCCACGACCAAAAAGTTAATTTTATTGAACGTATCTTTTCCCACTTGAGAAAGAGATCCAATACTAGAAACACAATCTCCCAAAACAAAACTTGCGTCACTTTGAGCTGTCCACAAAAACCAAATTTGAGTAATTTTGGGCTGTGAACCCAAGCCATATTCCCACAGAAAATCTCCTAAAAGCTAGATTGCGAGCTTGATGTGTAAGTGAAGCAATAGTAAAAAGTCTATAAATGTTACAAAAACATACAACTTTAAGCACCCACATAACACAAAACAGATCAATGATCAACCTTTAAAAAATATCTAAGAGCGTTGATGAAAGCTACAGCAAGCAAAATACAAAAGTTTATATTTATAAATAACCATGGAATTCATGATGTCAACATGCACACAAGCCAGAAGGGTAAGCAAAACAGAGTGGGTGAAAGAGAGAGAGAGAGAGAGAGAGAGAGAGAGAGAGAGAA